GATTCCTAGAGTGTAGCTGCTGTTTCTATGATGAGTAAAGAGGCGCTTTCCCCTGGGCTGGTGTGCTGTCCCCAACCACAGTCCCCAGCCCCCAGAGCCACCCCGTGGTACTCATGTAGCACTAAGCAGATGCCAAGGAGCTGCTCTGGAAGAGTCCTGCTGGGCTCAGAGCATCCTAGGACCAGCTGTTGGTTCTGAGGCTCCCTTACTGCAGCTAATGTACAAAACAGCTGGATAGATTAGCTACAATTGTGTCAGTTCTCTGCGTGTGTGTGTGTGTGTGTGTGTGTGTGTGTGTGTGTGTGGTACCAGGGATCAAACTCTATCTCCCGACCCCTGTGTCACTTCTATAAGCACCTAAGGTTTGATTATGAATGTGTCTGAAAATATCATAATGCCTGTTTTCCTGAGAAGAAACATACATATCAACACTAATAGATTTTTCTATTAGCATTATGAATATGTGTTATGAATATCTTGTTGATCAAGATATTCGCAACAGGCAGCCACATTTTAAAGGACTGGTTCCAGGATGTTTCAAAATTATGATATGTTAGTCATAACCACTAAATCTAAGCTGGTGTTAAAAGGATTAAAGATTCCTTCTGTAATCATTTTGAGAGGAGAGAATGCTCCATTTCACCTGGGCCTGGTGATTCGAACATATTTATTTTTCTCAAGCAACAGGTGATGAAAATGATGTACATTTGTTTGTTGAAAGGTAATATGCCTTGGCTTAAGTAATAAGGTGAGAATTTATTTTTGGCCTTAGAGCATTCTATATAAAATTATAAATAAACAGTGGTTTTTGTTTTCTATTTCAGCTCTTCGGCTGGCTTTTTCACAGAATTCGTTTTGAGAATGTTATCTTTGGCATTGTAACAATGATGTCAATACAAGGTTGTGTAAATCTCCAAAATCAATGGAGGATAAGAGGAGAATTTATTAATTTGCCTCAGGAAGAACTTCTACAATGGATCAAATACAATACCAGACCAGGTATGCAGCTATTTCATTATATGTGTCCTCACTTTGTGCTCACCGCACCACATGCGCACACAAGCGCGCGCACACACACACACACACACACAGTGTATGTGTATAGATGGTCCTTGACATACAAGAGTTAACTTATAATTTCTTGACTTTACAAGGGTGTGGAAGCAATATACATTAAGTACAAACTGTGCTTCAAGTTTGAACTGTGATCCTTCCTAGGCTGGGCCTAATAGTCTATTTGGATACTGTTACCAGCATTTCATAGATACTACATTCTGTGTTTCCTTCAAAGTTAGCACTGAGAATGCTTAGGTACACTGGAAAGTAAACATTCAGTTGTTTTTCACTAGACCTGAACAAGGTGCCTTGTATTTATTACTTGTTTTATTGCGCTGACTAAAAATGATCATAACTTCCCTAATTACATGGACATTTATCACACAGAAGTGCCAGGAAGTAAGCACTTGGTCTTTGGGTCTTCAAAAAAAAAAAAACCAAAAACTCAAAATGAAGACAGGTGGTAGATTTTGAAATATTCCTAGTTATGACCAAATGCATACATACCACTCAAAAAGCACCACTGATAAGCAATGAGCTGGCTTAGTGAGGTGTATAAAGGAGCTAGGCTCAGACAGCAACTAGGAGAACACAGTGATGAATATTTTCAGACCACCTGAAGAGAGACTGCAGTGTTCTCCTGGGACACATCCACGAGCCCGCAGGCTTCGCAGCACCCAGCGTGATTTGAGAAAACGCACCGAGAGACTTACCTTTCTCAGCAGTCACTCATTTCCTGGCATTTAAATCCTTCACAGGATTTGAAATACTCCCTTCTCTCCATTCCCCTGTGTCACTCACACGTGACAGGAAGCTGCCATCCAGAGGCCAAGGGCTGAGCAGTGTGTCCTTTTTCTGTGCAGTCTGGGCGACTCTCCTTACTCCGCTGTCTTTTTCTTCACCTACCAGTGAGGGAAGTGCAGCTCTCCCTGCAGAGGTGTGCAGGTGGGATCACTTCATCCTTGGGAAACTACCAAGCGTCGTCCCCAGTGTCATGTAACGAAAGTGAGCTGTTAGACTAAGAGGGAAGAGTAAATGCTGAATGAATAAAAAGAATGATGTCAATGGTTTCTATGTAATGTTGTAGGCAGCTGAGTTAGATAGCACTATTATAGGCAGACAAGGCTTGGCCCTTGGAGGACCCACTCAGAAGATGGGGTACTGTGCCAGTGCAGCAACAGGCACCTCCTTGTAGGCCAGACCTCATGACAAAAATTAAAGAAATGTGCCCACATACCTCCCTAGAGATAGGCTTTAGAGATTGATATTCTAAATAGAAATCAATCACCTTGAAAAAGCCAGGAAGGGTCACTAACCCATCACCTATAGGAAAAGCCCCTGTTCTGTATTCATGCCCACTTGCTATGTGACTACCTTCCTCATTTGATTTATTTTTTTTTATATTTGAAAATTTTATTGATAAACAGCAATGAGACAGTTTCAAATCAAATCAGTACAGTTTCAACAAATAACATACTGCATATATTCTTCTTAGTGGTTAATTGCTGTACAAGATGCAGATTTAAGATCCTATTTACAAACCCCATTAGAACAAATCACTCTATTCATTAAGAGAATGCAACTATATATCTATCCTAACCACTTTGAATACACAGATACGAAATGGACATTCATCTGTATGCCCTATTTTTTCTAAGTTCCATTATTGAATATTTTAGGTGTGTAAACTCAGCAAAATATTCTAAAAGAGTCCAGTAGACCATAATAGCATTGGGTCTTCTGTTTACCTGGCAATGTCAGAAATTATTGACCTGAGTCCCCCACAGCTCAACATAACAGCATGGCTTTACTTCCTAAATTTCATCTTCATACTTTTCTACTGGATGGGTAAGACCAAGGTAAAGCAGGACCTATGCAACAAGAGTTGTAGCTTTTCTTCCTCATTTGATTTAAACAACTTTACCTGAGCAATTACGTTTGTAATCTTATTGGTTGACTATAGTTTTGTCCAGCCCTATGCCCACCTTGAGTTCCATGTTTCCCACCTTAGACCTGCCTTGTGGTGTGGATTTGCACTATAAAAATCCCTAGAAAGGGCAGGCTCCTTTGCAGCCCAGGTCCCCTTCTGCTCCTCTCTCAGAAGCTTTCTTTCCATCAGTAAATTTATTCTGCTCTTAACCTCTGTTGTTCCTAAAATTCATTCTTCAATTTTAGAGAACACGAACTCATCCCATATCTTTTAGGTTGGGAATTTCTTTCCCCTATATCATTTGGAAGTCCTACTGATATCTGTCTGTCTGTATGTCTGTATGTCTGTCTGTCACCTATGGCTTCAGGGAGCAAACTCAGAACCTTGTATATTCAAGACAAGGGCTCTACCTCTGACATTCACCTGAAATCCCTATGGCCATTACTTAAATGTCTTTCCTCTTTCTTAATCTGCATTCCAATACTATGGATAAGTTGAGTTTTTCTTTTCTTGTTTTTCAGATGCTGTTTTCGCAGGTGCCATGCCAATAATGGCGAGCATCAAACTGTCCACACTGCACCCCATTGTGAACCACCCACACTATGAGGATGCAGACCTGAGGTTGGCAACCAATGATATCTCACCTAACTCACACTCTGCCTGCCGCTGGTTCTTAGGAACAAGGGATATATATAT